TGCTTTTATTTCTTGTGTTGTGTAGGATCTACTATATTCATAAATATGGCTGTTTATACTCTTAAAGAAAACTCCAAATCTTTTAAAAAAGCTGGAATTGATGGCATATTAATTTTTTCCTATTAGGCTTAGTGAATATAACTCTCACTTAGTATTATCATCTATTGTTAAAATTTTCACATTTTATAAATAAAAGTACTAAAAAATATTAATGTTATAGTTGAAGAGAAGTGTTGTGATTTACTTTCAAGAAAATGAAGTTAGGCATTAGTTCAAAGAAAACAAAAACATCAGATTTACTTGAGTCTTGTGTGTCATTATTATTGGTCTGAGCGGGACTCCATTGTACTTTTGATGGCTTTTTTTTAATTTCTCTTGATTCATCATTTTTCTACTTTTGGCTATTTCAACTGGTAACACAAGTCGATATTCTGTATGATATTGCTGAATCGGCTTGAATTGGTTATCAGAAAACTTTGGAAATAGAAATGAATGGAGTGAAATCAAGTGTATAAACAATGTATATTTATTTATTTTGATATATACTGGGTGCAATGGGTAAATTGTCCTCATTTTATATTTTTAATTTCACGCATACACATTGTTTTTGTCGACTGCACAGTATAGTAGGGTCAGTTGGGCACCATCTGTAAGAAAAAGAGAGCACCATGACATGATTCCAGAAATTTGGAAATGGCATGCTGTACTGCTTGACATTCGAACTGGTAGCTCCAGTACAAACATTTCAGAATGTTTGAGTGTCAATCTGAGGACAGTGCAGAGCATTTGGAAAGAGTTGGATGAGTCTAATGATGATTACAAACTAGTGATGTTATGTCTCCAGTCATCTTCCTACAAGGCCTCACTCAACACGGAGACCTGCATAAAGTACCTTGAGGAGATACTGCTGCCCTGGGTCAAGAGGGTGGCTGCTGGAAGACCCTATGACTGGCAAGAGGACTCTGCACCATGCTACACAAGCAGGACAATCCAGTCATGGCTGTCAGGCAATTTCTCCAACCACATCCCCCCCTTACATTTGGCTGCCTAACTCCCCAAAGTGCAACCCCTGTGTAGGGTGCAGTTGAACGAGAGACCAGCAAACTCCTTGTAACACCAAAGATGAACTGAAGGTAAGGATTATGGCAGCATTCACCAACTTAAACAAAGAGACCATCCAGAAGAGTTGCAGGAGATTCTGAAGTCATCTGGGGACTGTGGTTGAAGCCAATGATAATTTTATTAAATAACTTTAATCTTTTAGTATTTCAAGTTATATTTGTGTAATTTTGGTAAATATGTCTGTTAAAATGAGATGTCAGTGTTATTTTAATTTTTGTGTAATTTAGATAACAATTTATCCATCAAATATAGGTGGCAAGTGAAAATTTGTTCACAAGTCAGTCTGTTTATAAGTGATCAGTTTCAGAAGTGGGATTGTCAGGTATGTTATTTGCCATCTCACTGGACTCATTCAACCTCTACAGCAAATCAATTCTGAGAGAGCTGGAGATCCAACCAGGATTCATCATTGGCAGCCGCAATATTAACAACATAAGATATGCAGATGACACAGTGCTGATAGCAGACACAGAAAGGAAATTAAAAAAATCTCCTACAGAAGGTAGCAAAGGAGAGCAAGAAGGGACAAAAGCATAAACTAAAAGACAGAATGCATGGTCATCAGTAAAAAGATGAACCCAAAATGCAATTTAAAGGTCGGGGACACTAAAATCAAGCATGTGCGGAAATTAAAATATCTGGTAAGTGTTCTGACAGAGGACAGTAAGTTCAATGCTGAAATCTGAAAACTATTGTGATGGCCAAAGATGTATTCCAAAAGTTAAGCAGAGTATTATGAGACGGGAGGAATTCATTGGTAACAGAAAATAGTGCTGAACTGCTACATGATATCTGTCCTCTTTTATGGCTGTGAATGTTGTACGGTCTCCACAAAGATGAAGAAGGGACTCTAAGCAATGGTGGTATGGTTCTACAGAAGGATTCTGAGGATACCATGGACCAAACATGTGAGCAACAATGAGATTTTGGAGAGGTTGCAAACAAGGAAGAAGCTTATACTTAACATCAAGAAGAGGCAGCTGAAATTTCTGAGACATGTAATGAGAAAGGAAGGCTTGGAAAATCTGATTCTCACAAGGTGGATAGTGAAAGAGAAAAAGAAAAGCAATGCATGATATACCTAGCAGGCTTAAGCAGGTGGATGACGGAACAGGATTTGGGAGAAATAGCAAAAGGACAAAACATTGAGACCTTCAAGAGATAGGCTATCATGGCTCTCCATGATCCCCTATGTCCTGAAGGGACATGGCCCATAGAAGATTGTCAGATTGTTGTAGAGCTGTTATCTGTCAAAACTGGGTTCGGTCCTAAAAAATGTGTGAAGTTGATGACAGCTTAACGTGACATGCTTGGCTAGTTTTTATGGTGGTATTCCTTCAGAAGTAGTTCTTAATCATTAGTATGTTCTGTCTTGAGTCCTTGATTCAAGTCTGTTTGTGAAATTATTTGATTGGCTGAAATTCTTTTTGGGGCTCCTTATTTTATATATAGCGGAAGTCATATGTGGATCCTACTTCATTTATCGTAAGCCTTTCCTACAAATTGATTAGCTGCTGGACTGTCAATATCTGGTGTTTTTTTTTTTTTTTTTTTTTTTTTTTAGCTGAGCTTAATCTTTTCATCTTCATCCTCTTTTTATTTGAAAAAGAAATATATATATATATATATATATATATATATATATATATATATATATAGAGAGAGAGGGAGAGTGAAAGATAAAGGATTTTAAGGGAAAGCAAATGATTTGTTTTAATTTGAATTATTTTCTGTTTGTACGTATTTACTTTTTGTTTTATTTTATTGACTTGCCACAATTCCAAATGAAAATGTACCCATGCGATAAAGGAAAATTACCATCATTGTATACCTTTAAAGAATTCTTTCATCAGGTTTTTATGAAAGTTATGCTCTTTCATGCTTGATAGTTTTTATATTTCTTTTATTGTATTTAAAATAAAACCCTGTAAAAAAAAAAAATACTATAATTGGTTAAAAAAAAAAAAAAAAAATTGGGGGAGCACTCCCCCCCTTCTCAGCTCCCACATCCCTGTTATTATCAAAAGAAATTAATAATTTCTCTGTTTTATTTCCTTCAGCTTTTGATTTGAAGTCTTGGAATTTATTCTATTAATTATTCTACAGAAATGACCATAAGACCATTTCTAAGTTTCCAAGCTAAAATATCAAAAATATTAACTGCCATCAGTTTAAATGGGTTAGTAAGATAGTTTTGAATGAAAAAATGATAGAAATGTTCTTTTTGCTGCAAACTTTTAATCTGTCTTCATTTGTCACCATTTTATGTAAGTCTGGTTTGTCTCAGATTTGTAGACATCATTAAAATTCTCATGTGCAATTTTGTCCAATAATGAACTTTGAAATCCAAAGTAGGATAATTTCAAAGAATTTGGTCATAATACAGTCTTGTTGAAATCAATCTTTGTCAACCAATTATATATTCTGTGGCAACAATCTTAATAATAAAATACTAAAAATGTTTATTATTATTATTAATAATAATATTAATAATAATAAATTTTTGTAAAAGAAAAAAAGAAAAGAGCCTTTTTAGGTCTTTGATCTGAGTTTAGGCTTTGTTGTTTTCTAAGAGTAGACAATTTTAAAAAATTTTTAAGTACTTGACCTATCCAAACATTGAGGCTTTTAATATTGGTTACCATACTTCCACATTTGCTTATATACTGTCATAAATAATCTATAATGGATGATGTTCCAATATACACTTGTATAATAAATTCTTTTTTATTTTAGACAAGTGTTGCCTGTCATTGTTGAAATATTGGGAATATACTTTTTATATTGTAGTATTCAGAAAATATTACATAGGCACCATAATTACACTTTTCAAAGTTCATTCTGTTTTTACAAAAGAATTAAATGAATACTAATTAAAAAAAAAATTATTAAATCAAAACAACAAATTAACATTTTGCTTTTTTGAAATTACAAAGCAAAGGTAATGTTGGGAGATGCCATTGCCTTCGTGGGAAGTATCAGGTTTTATTGTTTTTTATTTTTTGGACCTCTATATGCCAGTTGTCTGGTGAGATACTTATAAATTAGGCAGCAATTTTATCACTTATTGCTCTCTTGACTTTTGAACTGACTTGACAAGTGACTCCCCCACTTTTCAAAATCCAGTGAAGTAATTATTAACTAAATTTCATTGATATTAGTAGTTGAAGAAAAAGATAATAAACTTGATGATTCTATTTTCTTTCAATTAGAACTTCATAATTTTAATTATAGAAATAAATTTGAATTATTATTTTTTATAAGAATAGATTGTTCATTGCTATAATGGTTTTTTGTTTTTGTTTTTTGACACCTGCTTAGTCGAGATGAACAATATATGAATAGTACTGCTTTATATGGACAAAATTTAGAATTGTGTGTGCAAAATATGAAAGGTTTATCTGGTTTACATTCTAGTTTTGAACAAAAGATGACATTTATGGCATATTTTGTGTATTACAATGCAACACAATTGGGATAGTCATTTTCAGTTCATTTTAGAATTTTGAAAACAGTCTTGAGTAATAAGTTGATGGGAAATATAACATTTTAACCTACTTTTACTTATTCATCGTAAATATATATTGGTTTTGGTTTAAGGTAGGTTTTTGAGGATTTTAAAATTTTAGGATTTTTTGTATATGGAGTAATGTGAGTGATAGTAGGATTTTGAGTAAACATTTTTTTTTGTGCATTATGTAAAGTTTTAAAAAAAATTGAAAGTATTGGCTCTAATATGTACACATATATATATATATATATATATATATATGTGTGTGTGTGTGTATTGATTATATACTTGATCAATAATATTTATGCCTTTTTTAACCTTTATAATGGCTATCCAATTTATTAATTCCTTTTGTGGCTTATTTCAGGAGGCCCTACACAGAGAGCAAATGTTGGAACAGAAACTCTCTGCGTTACAGGACCTTGTACAACACACACAAGAAGCATCAGAAAATGGCTGGCAGGTAAATAAATTTTTAAAAAATTTTCCTTGGAATTCAATTAAAAAAATCTTGTGGCAATTTTTAATTCAATGTGTAGCATACTGTTTAAAAAGTTGATTACTTGGAGTAAATCTGCATTCTTATTTGTGGAAAAATTCAAATCAGCTTTTTTCCATCTTGACATTTTTAATTTACTTCATAGAACTTTAATGATGCATATGATAAAAACTAATGAAGGTTTTCAAAATATCCAAGTAATATTATTTAATATCTGAAACCTTATTTTTAGTTACTTAATTCCTTAGGGAGAGAATAGTAGTTTTTTTTTATTTTTATTTTTTTATTTTTATTTTTTTTTCATTGTAAAAGACTAGAAAGTAAATAAGTTTCAGCGTTTTATTTTAATTATAATTTTATTAATTGATTTGTGCATTCTAATATCAGTCTCTGATATAATTGGGACATACCTCTGTTAGTTAATATAAATAGAATTTTTTTGTGATCCACTAGAGATTTACTTGGGTTTTACTTCAGTGTTTTTATTTTTTTTTTTTTTCTCTGATTAATATCAAATTCTCATGTAAACATATCCAATATTTTATATATGACATATACTGTGAAAAATTGATTTTTTGCTCTACAGGATGCGATGGGTAAATTGTCGCCATTTTATATTTTTAATTTCGCATATGTACATTGTTTGTTTTTGTGTTTTGTCAACTGCACAGTATAGTTGGGTCTGTAAGAAAAAGTTTATCATGGTACATTTCACTCTGCTAGAAATTTGGAAACTGCATGCTGTACTGCTTTGGATTTGTGCCAGTAGCTCCAATATGGACATTTCAGAGTGTTTTGGTGTCAAGCAGTTTAGAGGGTTTGCAAAAGTGTTAGATTATATATCTAGTCCGCATAGTATTTGGAGTGATCACTAGTGATAGTGATTTTATACCTCCATTCATCTTCTCACAGGGCCTCAGACTCAAAACTGGGGCCTTGTGAGTAACTTGAGGAAGTAGTCCTTCCATGGGTCGAGAGAGTGCCTGCTAGAAAACCCTAAATCTGGTAACAAGGCTCTGCATCATACCACACAAGCAGGAGAACCCAGTCATGGCCATCAGGCAATTTCTGCAACCACATCACCTCTCATATCTGGACACCTAACTACTTAAACTGCAACCTCCTTGATTATTATATGTGGGGTGCAGTTGAGTGAGAGACCAAAAAAAAAAAAATCTTTGTAACACCAAAAATGAACTGAAGGTAAGGATTATGGCAGCATTCACCAACTTAAACAAGGAGACCGTCCAGAAGAGTTGCAGGAGATTCCAAAGTCGTCTGGAGGCTGTGGTTGAAGCCAATGGTGAAAATTTTTTTAATTTACTCTTTAGTATTTCAAGATATTTTTGTGTGATTTTTGGCAAATATATCTGTTAAAATGAAATGTCAGTGTTATTTTCAATTTTGCATAATTTAGGTGACAATTTATATATATATATATATATATATCTCCAATATAACAATTTTGAGTTATACATATAAGTATGAAGACTTAAACTAATGAACATATGCACAATTTCATATTTTGTTCTTTTTTTTGCAATTAGTTTATGAATTAAATCATTAAAAAATTACTCCACAATGTTCACTTCTTTAGGAAAACATTTGATTGTGCTTTTGTATCTGTCTTTTTACTCAGTGCGATGACTTGTTATTTTTCTATTATTTTCAGGCCTTAATTGATGAAGATAGATTATTATCCCGGTTAGAGGTTTTAGAAAGTCAGCTGAATACTTATTCTAAGGTTAGTCAGTCTTTGTTTTACTTGACCCAATAATAATCACTTGATTTCTTCATTATTATTTTTAATGTGAAAATGTGCTTATAAAATTACCGTTTCTTTATTTTCATGTAGCATATGCAAAGCAATTCATTAGTCAAAACAGTTTTTTTTTTTTTTTTTTCCTCTCATGGTAGCTACTTTCCTTTATACTTGAATAGTTTTATTTTTTCCCTTCTACTTGTTTCAGAATCATGCTGAAGACACTCTTCGACAAGAACTAGTAGCTCTACAAGATGACAAGCATCATTATGAAACGACAGCAAAGGTCGGTGTCATTTTTTTCCCATTCAACATTTTAATTCTTTTAGTGCTGACAATAAGCAGATACCACAGGCCTGAAAACAAAATGAATGTTATTGAGGCTAAGGGCGATAACTCTGCAAGGCTTAAACTATTTCCTCCCTTTATTGCATTTGCACTTGACCTTTTGGCATCAAATTTTTTTCTTTTGTAAGAACAGAAGAATGAGATTCGCCAGATACTAAAGAACATAGATGGAAAACAGATATTAGTCTTAGCGAAATGAAAACTCCAGTAATTTCAAAATTGGAGGGGGTTTACATTATTTTTTCTATTTTTTAATTTTTTTTTTTATGACTGCAGTCAGGATCATAGTCATTGTAAACTCCATGATCCTGTCATTAACTGCACCATATGTGCTATGTCAGAGCTACATACAGCTTGTGAATTCATAGTTATCGTTCACCTAGTCTGGGTGTCAATTACAGCCAAAGAGCCCAGTCTGTTCTGCTATTTGACCCATAGCTGGATGGAGAAGAGATGGATTAATATCTTTTCCAAGGATATTTGCATGTAAGTGAAGGTAACGAACACAACTGGAATTTGAACCCAATTCTTCTCTGATTCCTCAATCTGAGCCACTATCTATTACTTCACCATGTTATTAACATGCTTAAAATATTGAAAAATGTTAAAATCTTTTGTTACTGAATATGTTTGTTTCAGAAAATATAAAGTCTGAAATTTAAAAAAAAAAAAAAAAAATTATTGGTAATTGAAGCTCATAATAATTTTTGCGATTTTATAATTTTGTAAGTTTTGTTTGAACAAAGTGCATCATTGCTCAGGCTTGCAAGACTCTTGGTCTTGTCTGGCACTAAAGTTCTCCTGACATAATATACTTAAAATGTCATTTTATACAGAGTTCTATTCTTATGTCTTTCATTGTTTCTTTTTATAGGAATCCTTACGGAGAGTGTTACAGGAAAAGTTAGAGGCTGTGAGAAAGATATCAGATCTTGAGGTGAGTGTAGTTTAAAAATCTACTCTATTTCCTGCACGGATTTTATTTTACTTTTTAAATGTATTTTTTTTATTTTAGTAACGTAATGTCAACTTTTCCTTTTTTGACTATAAAAATATATATATTCAGTTGTTTCAGTAAAATAGTGTTTGGGGGGGGGGTCTATCCATAAGTGGTCCATAAATTGTAATTTTTCCTAATCATTCCCAGTAAATGGTAACCATGATCAAAATTTGTTCTTCTGATCAGTAACCTTTTCAGTGAGATAAGATTAAACAATATTTCTTTCTTGCACTAAAAGCAGTTGCTGCAATTAGCCACTTTTTTTAAAAATTATTTCTAGTGCCTTTGACAACAAATTAACAACACTATACATCAAAATATCAGATTGACACTGTATTAAATGTTATATGATGTATAATCAAATATATATCAGTGAGATTTTGAATGCGATTTATTTAAAATCTGTGTTTCTTCCTGACTAATGAGTATTGTTTGAAGACATTACTTTTTTTCCCCCCACTTTTGAGATTCTTGCCTAATAGGAATTAAATCACAAACTTTTTTGATCTGTTGCTGGCCCTTTTGAAATTGGTAAAGAATACATCATCAGAGCCAAAGTTGCTTGCTTGATCCTAATCATTAGTTTTTGATTCTTGGTGGATGAAAATAAGGTTTTATTGCATTTACTGATTGGGACTTGGTAAAGAAATAATCTGTATAATTTTTTTTTAAATTATATCTGCTCAGAAAAGGTCAATTAGTTGAAAAGATAAAAACAAAACAAAAGATGTTGAATTAAACAGTAGTCTATAATCAAAACATTTTTATTTCTCTTATAAGGTTAATCATTGTTATTGTCTTAAGAGATAAAACTGCAAAAAATCTAAAAGGAGTTTTGAGTTTTATAACATTGGATTAGATAGATTTAGAAATAAGTGTTAGAGGTTTTAAGAAAAAATTTTTTTTTTTGTAAAATATCAAATATCTTAGTTCACTGTTAAGTGTCCCCTATTTTTAATTTAAGTGAAAATAACCAATTTGCATGGCTTGATAGGACATATCGCTTATTTTTAAAAAGAAAAACCTTATTTGTCAGTTTCTTTGACTTGTGTGTATTGTAATTACTCTTCTGAGACTTTTGTAAAAATATTTTCAGCAATCGCTTGGCAACACTGAAAACGAATGCTGCTACCTGAAGGAGATCACAGAGAAAACTCAGAATGACCTCAAGCAGTTGGCAGAAGATTACCAAGAACAACGGAAAGAGGTGGAGCAGCTGCAGGAGAAGCTGGAAGTAAGTAACTGCAATGTTTGTAGTTTTGGTATTCCAATCACTGTGAAGAATGCATTTAGCAACTGAGGTACATTTTTGTTAAATACCTTTTTTTTTTTTTTTTTTTTTTTTCCTCCTGCAAACTCTTGTGATACTCAATCTTTTCATCTTTGCTGCCTTCACTTTGAATCAAGACATAAGCAAATAAGTATTTTTAAGAATATCTATAATGAATGATTTTGGTCAGTTAAATCAGTAAAAATGGATTTACTAACTTTGTTAAAATCAATGTATTAATGTATATGCAAGTAGCTTTTGCTTAATTTCTTTCTCTATCTCCACTCCCTGCTTCAGGAAACTGATCTTTTTAAATGCATAAATACCTATATAAGTTGATCTTTTAAATGATTATATATATATATATATATATTGATATATATATATATATATATATATATATATATATATATATAGACTGTTTATTTTCATTCAAACAGGTTTGGTTAAATAATTTAGACATATCATGTCGATTAGTTTTCATTCTGATCCTTTCAAGTTTAGATTAATTTCTTGGTAGCATTAGAAAATGATTGACATATGTTGAAATTATTTCACCAAACTTGTGTGTGTGCATATATATATATATATATATATATATATATATTATAAATTTATTTTTTCTTGCTACACAGTTCTAACCATGTTTCAAAAATGGAAGCTAAAAGCTACGAATTTTGTAAAAATAAAAATATCTATAAGAACACAAGATTATATATCTTACTGTTCTTTCTTTTTTTTATTTATATATATATATATATATATATATATATTTATTACACATACATTAAAGCAAAACAACCTACATTCAACAAATTGTCCTGGGTAAGATGATAAACTACATCCAACAGCAAGGCCTCTGATCAGGAGGTTTTGAGGAGCATGGAACCACCTCTTAATGCTGGTGTTCCCAGGTCCAACCTAACCCATGGTGGTAGCACCTGTTAGGGTCCCAGCTATAGGCAAATAGTTAATTATTACCAGCAATACAATTTTGAAGGAAAAATATTACCAGTAACAGATTTTTGATAAAACAAAATATTACCAGCAATAAAAAATGTCGGCATTAAATAACCCATTTCTTATGGTAGAAATCAATTACAAATTCAATTGATGCTTGCAAGCATTTCTAATTTGTCTTTTATTCATTTTTTTTTATTTACCAGAAAACAGTGAAAAATTAAATAAAATGAATATTACAATTTTTCAAAGTTTGTTGAGTCCTTTATATTTCTTAAATAAATGGTTTTTCTTATAAACAATATTAATACTTATTTGCATTAAACTGCAGAGTAATAATAATATGCAAATATCGTAACATACTGTGCGTGCATTTATGGCCAAAAATTCAGGAAACATTACAAGCATTGTACCCCACCCCACAGATCTTCCTTGTTATGTGCACTCTACAAAACACTTATTAAAAATGATCTATTTCCTTCGACTTATTATAGACTTTGTTTTCTACATGACACATGAAGAAATTAGATAGAGTAGGTCTGAGAGGCCAACCCATCACTACACCATGCAAATGTTACTATGTGGTGTAGGTGGTACTTGTGTTGTGCAAGATAGAAGTTTATGTAGGATAGTCTGTTTAATTTTAGGGAGTGTGAATGAGGGGTAACTGTATACGTTTTGTAAAATTATGCATATAGTTTCTTTGACTGGAACATTAGTGAATAAACTTTCAATGTCTATGTTGTAGTAAAGAAAAGACTGTCAACTGATAGTAGCAACTGCAATAGATATCTTCTATTTCTCGACCGCAACACTTGTAGCCAAATCACAGTTCAAACGACAGCCTATCGTATAAGTCCAAAGTAGAAAATGACAAAATAATGTCACACGTCCAACCTTCTCACAAGCAAAAAAAAAGTCCCCAGAAAAAAAAAACCGTGCTTGCTTTATACAGCCGAGGACCGACCAAATTTTGCATGCGAATGACGAGACAATGAGATTTTGTGTTAATTGTCTGAGACCACATAAAACATGGGCACTGCCATTTTGTTTCTTTTACCGTTGAGCAGCCGGAGTTTGCATGACGCACAGATTCAGGGCGTTTCCAAGGTAAACCGTTTTCACAATTTTCCCCACAGTCTAACAAGGCTTTATTAAAGAAAACCAGTATGTCACTAATACATACTACACAGGATTTTTAAATTGATTGAGACAGTTAAAAGTACTTTAACAAAATAGAACAAACATGAACTTCAAACAGTTTATCCACAATTTCAATCCCAATAAGTGTTAAAAAAAAAAAAAATGAAATAAGAAATTAAACAGACAAACCTTGTATGTTTATATAAATGCCTAAGTGATAATGGCACTAATTATCAGTTGAGTTATTTACCTTGCATTTGGACCAAGACTTCTATCTTAACACCTTGTTGGTTGTATTCACTCAAACCTGCTTGTGTGTGTGCGTGCGTATATATATTTATATATATATATATATATATAAAATGTGTGTGTTAACATTTTTTTTTCTTTTTTAAACATTAATATTTTTCCGTTTTTTTTCATTGCTTTCTACACAAATCAATTTCTGTCATGGCTACATTAACTTTTGGCTTTCAGTTGTTATACACTGGCCAATATCTGTTTAGCTTAAGTGGAAGTCTTTGTAACATAAATTTTTATTTTTAAAATTGATATTACCATGGCTGTTTGTTTATTTTTCAGGAAGCTGAACGAAAGCATCAAGAAGAACTGGAAAAAATTGAGAAAGAAAAACATGAGCTGAATGAAAAACTTGAAGAAATGACAAAGCAAGAAAAAATACTTTATGCCAAGGTAAGGAAATCTGTTAAACTCATGTTGCATTAGTAACCTTAATATCTTCAACTTTCTATTTATAAAATTTATATTATAATTATTTATAAATGCTAATTATCAATAACCTTCAATGACTCTTTTCTGGTTATTCCTATAATTTTCTTATAAAAAAAGCTAAATTCTTGTAGTTAGTAGTTAACAAACCTGGAGTTATCCTCCTTGAGCACTGCTTTGCCACAATTTATATTTAATTAAAAATTACTTGGAAATGTTTGATTCCCATTAATACTTGTATTGTGCTACAATGTTTTTTTTTTTTGTTTTTTTTTTAATTGTAATAGTGGCAGAAATTCAATTATTGTTATAAGAATTGTTTCTTTTGCTATCAAATATTTCAAAATGAAAATCAAATTCTGAATTTTAGTATATTTGGTACTGAAGTATTTAATAAAAAAACAGCATAGTATGATTAAGAAAGGTCCAAAAAGTTTTATTGTCAAAATGTTTATTATTAAGAGGTAAGACCAAAGTACTTTTTAATTATTTTTAAAACTTTTTCGAGCATGTATAACTTGTTCATATTGATACATTGACATAAATGTCAATTCACACCTCCAAAACTAATCACTACTTTTAGACATGCTTTTCTTATTTTCAACTAAATTTTTTCTGCTAAAAAATTAAGTATTCTTTGTTTCCAATTACATTAAGTAAACTTCAATTTTCTAATTTTCCTCAAATAATTTTTGAAAAAGGTATAATTGATTTTACAAGATTTTTAAATTGAGAATGTAAGTTTTTGTTTACAAAGTTGTCAAAAATAGTGGACTGATTGATTTTATGGCAATTTTGCTGACTCAAAAAATATAAGATTTTTAACTAAAATTTATGATGTGCTGGGAATCATTAAAAACGTAAGTAAATAATAAAAAAATACTTTGGTTTTTCCTCTTAATGATAACATGACCATTTAGATGATAAAAAAATTGTTTATAAAGTTTGGGGGCCTTTTTTCATCAGTGTGCTTTTTTTTTCTTAATAGCGAATTAGTGAAGATACCAATATTATAATAAAGTATTTTATATGAAAGAATGAAACTCAAATCAGATTTACACATTAGTGACTCAATTAGCTGCCAAAAATGAGCTGCTGGTTCTAAAATTTAGTTTGATAATTTGTAAGTTTTATCAAGATCAAACTATTCTTGAGTTCTCTTTTGTGCACCTGCAAACAAACCAATTATCAACCATTCTTTTGGTTTACTAATGATTCCTATAGATGTTGATGTGCCAAAATTATACTTATAGTTATTCTTTTCATGTACTGGTAAATTTTTGAGCAAGCTTTTACTATAAGCACTTGCATAGTACATATGTAAGTTATGGAAAAAAATGATTCTGTCTTTTAATGAAACTTACACTGACTATTCAGTGTATTGCTTTTAATAAAATTATTAAATAATAATTGCATCAATCAACATTTGTCAGGCATAATAAAGAGCTGTTATTTTATGAAAAGTATGAAAAATCTCAGCATTAGATTCACTTGTTAAAAAGACATGCGCAAGAATCTGTGAACTTGACATCCTAATAAAATATTGGATGAATTCTGGATTGAAGCATTGAACATGAACTGATTATTACTACAATCCTCTCCTCCATCAACTGAGCCATCCCGTATTCTGGGCTCATAACCTTTCAAAGTTTCATAAATAACTGAAACAAAACGTAAGGATCAGAATCATCTTGTTCAATTTTGCATGTTTTTTTAGTTCAATTTATATTACACATGATCATTAATTCTTATATTTTAATATTACACAGCTGAGTAGTTTTCTCTGCATTTGTCCTTAGTCCTTGTATCTATAATTTATTTTGAAATGTTTCTTGTATTTTCCCCAGGTTGAGTCTTTACAAGCTGACAATGATATCTCCAAGGAACAGTTGACTGCCATCAAAAGTAAGTTGACTGCTTTTTCTTTCTCTCTTTAACAATTCTTTGTTTTTATTTTGAAAGTATCTTTTTTATAGTGTTTTTAACAATTACTTTCACAAAATAAATTATTATAAAATTCGTTATATTAAGATGCGTCAATTGTTAGGATTTTTATGTGGTATCTTCAAAGAGTAGATAACCTTTCTTTTGATTTTTTTTTTTTTTTTTTTTTTTTTTTCTTGGATGTCAACTGAGTCTTTAAAAGGTGTGTTTTGCTTCACGTTCATCCTACAAGTATTTTTGCATATTTGTTAGTTTGGTAATAATCCTTGGAAAAACTTGTAATATATTTGTTTAGCAGAAAAGTAAAACAAAAAACTGTTCATTGCGCATGTGTCGTAAAGCTTATTCAAAGGACGAGAGGAGGTATTCTTTTTAGAAAAATGCTAATCAGTGAGCAATATTTATAATCTTGATTTGATAATCTAAGTCATAAAAAACAGGCAATGGTTGCTTGCCTTGAAAATTTGATAAAAGTACATACCTATATTTTGCCTGAAGAAAAAAATTCTATTTCATACAGATCTCCATTTTTAGCATAGAAAGTATAATTGAGAAAACCTGATGTATATTGAAATCAATATATAAAGCTCATAATTCATCATGGATTTTATTTGACTGACTGCACTAAGTGGTGGTGGGGGGCACCTTGAGGTGGTTTAATGGTTAGCAAGCTTATCTCACTAGATCAGTTATGACTGAGTAGTGAATCTGATTCTCACTGGGTGCCCCCTACTTTTGGCCTTGTGCCACATCTAAGCTATGCTTGGAAAATATATAGTGGCGGAGTAGTAAAATGTAATATAAAATACTTGTAATTTAGTATATTTATATTGGTATGCTATTATTCTTGGTCATTCAAAGCTCTTACTCTTGTTTCAAATTGATATTAAAGAAATTTTTTTTTTTTCTGACAAAACAATGGTAGTTAAATATAAACTGGGTCTGGTCCTTATATATATATATATATATATATGTATGGTTGCTAATTTCAACATTGAAGAAATTTGGAAAACAAAAAAAATAACAATGGTTATGATTTTAAAAAGAAAAAAAAAAAAAAATGTTTAATTTTGGTAATTGGAAATCTCATTTTAATATTAAATGGATATGTGCATTAACTTAAAGTTTTACTTAAAATGTTTCTAGTGTCTCCTGTTAGGTTCACAAAAACAAATTTTGCCATGCTAATCAGTGGGCAATATTTATAATCTTCATGTGATGATGAGCTTGGTGAAATTAACAGGAACAATTACTAAATTTTATGGAGACATAGGTCAGTATATTCAACCTCTTATTGCTGTAATAATTGGTGTACCAATCATTTCAATTTTTCAGCCTCAAAATTTTAAACTGATACTTCTAATACTTGTTCCCTGTGGTGAGAGAAGATTTCTAAGGTTACTTGTGGAATTATGTTTGGCACATATACTTAGTCTGTTTATTTATTTATATATATATATATATATATATATATATATATATATATATATTTCTTTACCAATGGAGGTGTTATTGCAACCATTGCTGGTCTTTTATTACTTAGCACACTGAATAGAAGTAATACTTATAACAGTATATTTGGAATTTGTTTGAGATTAATTTTTGTTTGTAACTAGAAAAGATTCAACAGATATTTAGTTTAATATCAGATGAATTATACACTAAATTATTAGATTCTTTTATTTTTCAATTTATAGTGAAGCAAAACACTCTGCATGGCTCATTTTACTGGTTTTTTTTTTGTGTGGGGGGGGCTCTAAATTTCATTAAAAATTCTCCACTTGTCTCATAATTGTACAGTTTTCTTTTGGTTTGATTTTAATTTTTTAATTTGGTCATCTGTTTTCTATGTGATTTTGGTTGGAAAGTCAGCACATTAGCTTTTTGTACATTTAAAGAAGAAAATTGTTAAAGTTTCAAAAGTTTTAACTTTTCAATGTTTAACAGAAAATCAGACAAATCGTTCATTTTTAGCAAATGTTTTGTATTTTTTAAAGAAAGTATTATGCATCATTATCTTTCAATGAAACAATTTAAAAAAAAAAAATTATTAAAATAGTGTTCAAAAATAGTTTTTTTTTTTTTTTTTCCTCTCCTGATTGCATTTATGACAGCTGATATACAAACTGAAAATCAGTAAAATATTTAAAGAAAAAAAATGACTGTCTTTGCAATTATCACCTTATTTATTGAAAAGTCACTTAATCATGCTGCTTTAGATTTTCATTCATATAATTTATTAACATGTCTTTCTGCACAATTCCATATCAGTTGACTGGCTAATTTTTTTTTTCTTGTGATTCTACTGTTAAGTAATTTTTTTGTTAGTCTTCTTTTTTTGGTGATAACATGATAATATTACATTATTAGCAAGGTGATGACATTGCCTGGCTGTTAACATCCTTATTTCTTACACAGGTGCACTTTTCTTTGATTAATTTTCATGTGACCAATTTCACTTTTCAGCATTAAAAGTAAAAATGAAATTAAACACTGATTCATCCACTCCATCTTGTCCATCATAAAGTTTGTCAGATCACATTTTCATTTTATATTTCATTAAATAACCTATTTTTAAGGGTATGACTAAAAAATATTTATAGATATTAACTTTGTGTGTGTATATATATATATATATATCTACATTTAAACATAGGTATACATGTAATTATTTATGTACTTTATAGCTCTAACTACATTGAGCACTGTTTTGTCTACACCATTGATTAAATAGTTATATGCTCACCTGTATGTGTATGTAATTGCTATTATTTATTATGGGTTTTAATGTGACACTACAGCAGGTTTCTCATGAAACATGATTTTTCCAAGTAGTCTTTCTTGCACTCCTGATTACACTACCAGAGTTACCTGCCCTTACTTTTCCACTTCCTTTGGTGCATATATACATTTTACTCCAATCATGTGTCACATGCAAACGATACTTATAACTTAAATACACAGGTATTAAAAAACACATTCACACATTCCTTACTTATAAATGTATATTGTTATCCAATCCTTGTGTGCTAGAAAGTGGCTTTTTCAAATATCAGATTTGTGTATGTGTTTACTCTTGTTTCCTGAACGAGTTCTGTATTTGTCAGGTTGTCTGGGCATATGAACTTTGATATTTGTGGAGATATAATTAAATAAATGGTAAGCTCTGCCACACCAACTGATATGTGCATAAGCAGTGGAAAGGGATTGTTTTAAATTTAAGAAAAAAAAAATTCTTATGGTCCGTGTATTTTGAAAGCTCATAATAGTTCAGCCCTGTTACAGGAAATGAGAAAAACACAAGATCATGATTTTCTTTTTTTTTTCCCCCTCCTACTCTTCATTGCTTAATTTTTGAGCTTGTTGGTCATTGAAAAATCAATGTGTGATGTTGTTAGCTAAATAACCTCTCAGTCCCAATTTGTGAGATGTCATTTAACAGTGTTTGTTATTGCCTTTTATTTTTCTCCTCCAGCAATCAAAATGTCTTGAAAAAAAATCTAAGGAAAAATATCCAAACCCATCCTGAGTTTATTTATTTTCTGTAGCTTTGCTTTTACTTATCTTTATTTCAATTTCTTAAGATTTCTACATTCAAATTCAACCTGGCTGGCATGTAAATAAGATTATTTCTCACATTATATTGATAATTATTTCAAATAGCATTATAAATTCATATTTCTACATAACTTTGCAGAATTTATTTTGAAATTCCTCTGTCAACTCCTTAGTGCCATTAGACATCACCCTCCATGAGGAATAGGACAACAGCTTCATCATGCTAGGTGTTACCACTGTGGTTTCTTTAGCAAGTAGGTTTTTATGGTAGGAGTGGATTTGCCAGCCCCACAATCAACCAGTTTTCAATTGTTGTTCTCCTTATAAACTGGTTGCCAACCAAGGCTAGAGAAACTCATCTGCCTTTTTATTTAACCTGTAGCTGATGGGAGAAGTAGATTCATGCCTTTCCCAAGGACAATAGTGCAAAAGTAAATGCAACAAACTTGGCTGGAATTTGAACTCTACACATCAATTCCACTTTCCACTATTTTGAAATAATCCTTAGAATGTACTTAAATAAGATCAGTTATCTATTAATGCTGTTCAGAAAGACTTCTTGTCTTCCAGTCTGTGTAATCCATTGTTCTTATATTTCAGTACAGATGTATTCAAAAAAATAAAAGGCATAATGTTGATTGTTTTGTTTGTTGCTAAAATAATGTCAAACATATTGGTATTCCATAGAAAACAAATATGAAAGAATATGCTTAAAACATATATGTAAAATATTATTTTAAATAATAAAAATTCAACTTTTGATCAAACTGTAACATTTGAACATTTTGTAATATAAAATGAGTCTTTTATTCTTGCTAATAATATTATTTATTTAGTTTTAATAAAACAAATATCAAATAATTTTAAAAACCACATTAATTTATACAACATTTTATATATCTTAAAATTTAATCAACTTTGTCATGGTTGTTGTATACAAGTGTGAACCATATATTTCTTTTGGTGGCTGCTTAAACAAATTAAGTTTTTGTTAATGGATGCAATTTGTGAAATATTTAACATTTTCTGATAGCCTTAACTTTTTTTTTTTTTTACTGTTAGCAAATATTTTTCACTTACTATCTATAATTTTAATTATTCTAAGATCTTTGTTACTAGAATCAATTCTAAAATTTAATTTCATTAAATACCAGAAAAATAAATTGACATAACCAGTTATTTCTCCTTTTTCTTTTCCCTACTTTTTATTTCCTATAATTTTTCTCTCTTTAGACATCTTAAATGTTGAATTTGAATCATTTCTTTTTTTTTTTTTTTATTATTATTATTTTTGTTAGTTATTTCTATTGGCTTTTTATTAATAAGAATAATCATCTCAATTCCCCTTAAGAAAAGAAAAAATGTTTTGATTTACTGAAATGTTCCTTTGGCAATTCTTCCCAGTAATTGGATAATTATCCTTTTATTAAAATTTGCTGTTTTTTCAGCAAAATGGGAAAATATCAAAGAGCTTGAGGGGGATAATAAGATTATTCCTTTGCATGGTAAGTTAATGTCTCATTCTTTGATCCCTCCTTCTCCTCCTCCTCTTACAACCCCTTCCTTTATTTCCTTGACGCTGCTGCTGCTAATCCCCCCCTTCTTGGTGCAGATTTATGTAGCACAATAAATTTACAAAAATGGTTGGATGACAGATATTCGAACTTGCTGGGAGGTTGATAATCAAACAGCATTTATTGAAAAAATGCATGATATAAAGTGTTTGCAATGTTTTGATGGCAAATCTGTTCATGAAGAGAAGGATAAAAATTACAATTATAATCTGTCATTAAAAACTGTGCACATCCATCCCTTGTCTTTCTTGCTTCATAGGTACATAGTTTATTTATAAGTAAATATTTCTTGAAATACAATCCAGTTTTCTTGTCAGATTTAGTTCAGTCTCTAATTGCTTCTACTAGAGACTTATTGCTTTGATGTTATGTATTGAAGAGAGAAAGAGACTGTGTATACATGAATATTGTTGGTTTACTCTTTTCTTTTTACCTCAAGGATTTATTGGGTTTAAGTAAGCACTTATTAAATAGAATAAGGCTATTAAATAATATAGCTCTGGTGATAAATGAAATCTACTGTTTGCTTGCCTGTAATGCAGTATCTATTTTGAATACCTCTGTTAAGTGCCATGCATACTTGGGCGATCATCTCTTTTGATTCCTGACTGACTAGGCAGAAGATTTTCTCACAATAGGTTGCCATTTCTTTCTGCAGTAGACTGGTTGCCAACCAAGGCTATAGGATCCAGCCTGTTCTGCTATTCAACTCATAGCTGTAAAGAAATGGCTTGATACCCTTTCCCGAGGGTAATTGCATATAAGTGAATGTATAACTAAATCTACAACTTGAGAGTTAGTTATTGACCTCTTATTAATATACCACTTCTTGGAAGCTATCAAAATATTTGGATACTATTTATGGTGAAATTTGTATCAACCAACCAATGTTGGTAAGATTTGCAGGATATATTCATATGATAAATATACAATGTGCTTTTCTGCTTTTTGTGTTTTTATTAGATATGTTTACAATAATCTATTGCTAGTGTGATATTCTACAGGGTGCCCAGTAAAAAAACAAAAAAAAAGTGGCAAATTTAGTCTTTGAGAAAATATACCATCAGCTTTAATTAGTCTGTCAGTGGCTCTGTAAAAACCCAGATTTGAATGTTATGGATTACTGTATCTGGAGTATACTCCTCACTTGCAAAATCGTCATTGTGATATCGTTGATATTGATTCATTGAAGTGGAACGTAAGTGAAGCTTGGAATGAAATTCCTCTTGACACTATCTGCAAAGCTACTGCCACCTGATTACCATATTTACAACTTTGTGTTGAATATTCAGGCAAACATTTTGAACATCTACGATGATTGTTCAGTTTGTGCATGAATCATGATAGCTAAATAAATTCCTTTTTGAATTTACTGCTTTTTTACTGGGCGCTCTATTCTACAACTCAAGGGTTGTTCATCATATTGTAAATGAATATATTGAATAGTGTAGTTATTGACATTTATTTTTTAATTGAAGATATATAAATATTGTCATAAAAGAAAATATAACTGCAAAAGAGAAATTAAATATTGTAAAGTTATTGAGCGATGGGATAAAAAAAAATTGTATATGCATATAGATAAGTAGTAAGCTATATGCCATAGTTTTATAATAGTATGTGTGAGTGGACAAATGCAAAAAAAAAAAAAAAATTAATATCTAAGGTTGCTCAAATCTTTTACACTAATGGCCTGAACCTCCAAACTTTCTTTATTCCTCAGTCATTTTTCTTGATTTTGTTTTGATCAGTGACACACCTTAGAGAAATGCTTTTACAAAATACCTGAGAACACCGATTTACTCTCTTATAATAATTTGAGTAGGCACTAAATTCTTAAGACCTCTAAATTTTCAAAGTGATCAGTTAGTTGTTTCCCTTTTTATAAAAATTGGTTAAATGAAAGCAGAAGAAAAACAGTGATTATTTTCATTTTAAACTGAAAATTCTACCTCAATATCTACAATATAATCTAGCAAGCTGTCTTTAATATAATAATAAAGTTGAAAAAAAACAAACTTAGTCTCTAAGATTGAATATAAATTCATCTGAGTAAGATGATAGTATACTTTTATTAGCACATACTGGTTTTGATATCTCTGTAGTAGTAGAACATGAGTTGCCAATCAAAACATTGTGGATATGTTTTTCATATTTGTTTTATTTACTGATAGTTGCATATACTGCTGTGTTATCAACTTCCTATTATGTCAAGACTTGTAGAAAGCACATCACATTGTACTTTCCTCTCTTAAAAGTAGTTTGTGCTGTTATTGTATTGTCTTCAACTATTGGCTTGTTGAAATGCATTTTCAAAGCATGTCATGGCTTTTTTTGCCACTGTTATGTCTTGAGGGAAAAAAAATGCTCCTTATATGTTAACCCTGTAGTTTTCTCCTCCTGCAGTGTCTATCAGTATATCCTTTTTGTATTGCTGCTGCTAATATAATTACTGCTACATAATAATAATGATAATAATAATAGTAATACTGCTATTTATTAATTAACCCCACAATTGACTGCATTATTTCTCTCTTTTTTTTTTTTTTTATAATTAGTCTTATACTGAGGCCTTATTTTCAGGGAGCTTCATCTTGCAGTAACTTTTAGAGGGGGAATTTTCATTTAGATACAATGGCTTTCCCTATTCTCAGCATGCAACCACTACTGTTTTCAGCTATGCCATCTCTTTTTATACAAGCAGAACTTGAAATTATTTTAAGTTTTCTATCAATCATACAATTTTAAATTAGAACAGCTTCACTATAGGATATTAATGATATATTATCATCAAAAATTGTTTTTAAAATGAATCTAGTTTGTGATATTCTATTTCCAGATTTAAATTTGTCTCTTGTATGTTTTCATTTTTAGACATCTAAATCTGATTCATGACTTTCTTTCAAAATAACTTATTTGAATTTAGTTGAATGCATGAATGAACCTTTTAAATTTTGACTTTTTTGAAAAAAAGCAAATTAATGAAGAGGACAGCAAAGTATTTATTTAATTATTAATATTTTTCATAATTAATATTGACAGCTATGCATTTATCTGACATGCAATTTTGTTGCTTAGAAATCAATTTTTGATCTACAGATCTGAAATTTTCAGGCTGTTATCATAATCATTTAATTTCACAATAATTGATGACAACGAAATCTTGAGTTTTACTTCATTACCCACATTGTCACATTTTATCATTGAACATGTAAGAAAGTGAAAATATAGTTCAATAGTGTTTTTTTTTTCTTTTTTTTTTCTTTCCTTCTCTTCTTTCCTTCTTTTCTTTTTTTGTTTTGTATTTGTTTTAAGGAGAATCACTTTTTTTCTATTGCTCCATGAATGCTCAGTGAAAAAAAAAAAAAGACTTTTGGGGTTTTTATCTGATATTGGTTAAAATTTAAAAGTATCTGTAAAACCAAACATGATGCTTGTGATTTTATAGATATTGGAGAATTGTGAGTTTAAAAACCTATACTGGCTCATTAGATTTTTACTTAGAAAACCTTGCCAGAAAGATGGAGTCACTATGAAAATTAATCTTGGTGATAAAATCATCATGGTGATGCTACATTCTCTATTTGGTCATCTTTAGACATTGCTTTTTTTTTTTTTTTACTACTACTGTTCCTATAGTTCTGTTTAACTTGCTACCAAATAAGATACCACATCATTTGAGGACTACCAATTGCAGCAACAACTAAAATGGATAGCACTTGTAACTCAAATAGAAAATAATGACATAATCAAGACATTAACATTTCACACCAACCAAAAAGTTAGGATGGAAACCCATCAATACTGAAAAGAGCTATAACAGCTCCTGGACTTAAAACTTTTCCTAAAAAATTGTTTTAAAAGAAAGATTTTATAAATTTCAAACAGCAGTACTGGCTGCTTGGTCAATGAATGCCAAATGTTTCCTTGTAGGGAAACGGCTAATATTACCATTATCTGTTCAATATTCTATCTTAAAGAATTTGTTAGCAGTACAGAATTTAATTATGGCATAAAAACAGAAACGTACTTTAATACAAAATTAAACAGGGAGAGAAGTAAGGACAAAAGTTATTTTATTTCTCATTTTCCCTCCTCTCTTATGAAAACTTGAATGAGGATAAAAAATATGTACCAATTAAAAAGAATACAAATGTTAGAAAATATACTAATGAAAATATGTTAGATGAAGATCACATTAAAACCAAGCAAACATTCTTTCTCTTTACATGGGAAAGGCTACTTAGACTTAATAAAAATTGTTTGCAACACTTTAAGCTAAAATTGGGAGTGCAAGCTGCACAACATAAAGAACATATCCTCCTGGTACACAGTTGCATACTGACGATTATTAGGTGCTCTGCTGGAACATACTGTGAAATTCTCCACTCTAAAAGTTGAGTTACCCTGCCTATATATTCAGCATCAAAATGACATTTAAAAGAATTGAAATAACTGAACTAGTTTTTAAGACAGGCAGGCTGTCCTTATAGATTTTAACAATAGCCAAGATGATAATCTTGCTTTTGGATTAGCAGAAAAATAACATTGCAAAATACTGGACGAGATTTGTTTAGCAAAAATCTCGCCAGTTTCACCAATCCAGGGTAGTCTTGAAGAGACGGGACATTTTTCAGGGCTAACACTGTTCAATTTTCGCACTTACACTGGATTGCACAGTGTCTGAAGGATAGCCAAGGTCACAAAATAGTTCACTAATAAATTTTAATTCTTGTTCTAACTTAGCCTCATTTCTTTTTTCCGATTATAATCTCTAGAATGATGGAAATGTCGTCAACTAAACAGTGAAAGGAATAAACATCAAAAAATGTTATCTGATGCATAGTCCTAGAAAGAAGCAGTTTTTATATTTACTCTCACTTACCAATATTTTACTCATGAAGAGTAATTTGTTATAATAGAAACTAATA